TTGATGAGTCGCAAGCCGATGTCAACGATAGGCTGGAGGTTTGGAGACAGACTCTTGAGTCTAAGGGTTTCAAGCTGGCAGGACGAAGACGGAATACCTGGAGTGTAAGTTCAACGCTGAGCCGGTGGAAGTTGGCGTGGATGTGAGGCTTGAATCACATGTTATCCCAAGTAGAGGCAGCTTCAAGTACCTTGGGTCGATTATCCAGGGGGGAGGGGAGATCGACGAGGATGTCACACACCGTATTGGGATAGGATGGATGAAGTGGAGGTTAGCATCTGGAGTCTTGTGTGATAAGAGAGTCCCACTGATGCTCAAAGGAAAGTTCTACAAAGCGGTGGTTAGACCGGCCATGATGTATGGGCCTGAGTGTTGGTCTATTAAGAACTCACATATCCAGAAGATGAAAGTAGCAGAAATGAGGATGTTGAGGCGGATGTGTGGGCATACTAGGATGGATAAGATTCGTAATGATGTTATTCGGGAAAAGGTGCACGTAGCTCCCATTGATGCCAAGATGCGGGAATCGAGGCTAAGATGGTTCGGGCATGTTAAGAGAAGAAGCCCAGATGCTCCGGTAAGGAGGTGTGAACTGGTTGTGGAGGGCACGAGAAGAGGTAGAGGGTGGCCTAAGAAATATTGGGGTGAGGTGATAAGGCAGGATATGGCGAGGCTTCGGATTTCCGAGAACATGACACTTGATAGGAAGAAGTGGAGATCGAGTATTAGGGTTGTAGGTTAGGAGGTAGTTGAGTCTTGTCTTACTTCGCACCTTTGTAAGACTAGTCTGGTAGAGTTTTTTGTCTAAGATAGTTAGTGGCAATGTTGTGTCTTACTATTTCGCTTTTTAATGCAGGACCTTTTGATTAGCTTTCGCTTTTGCTTTCCATCTTTCTTCTACATTTCATATTGTTCCTATTTTTCCTACGATTTTTGTGGTGATACTAATATTGTTTCATTTTTGTCCTTTTATTTTCTTGAGCCGAGGGTCTTCCGGAAACAACCTCTCTACTCCTTCGGGGTAGGGGCAAGGTCTGCGTACACACTATTCTTCCCAGATCCCACTAGTGAGATTTTACTGGGTTATTGTTGTTATTGCATCATGTCCCCTAAACTATATAGCCCGAACCAGTAAGAAAAATATTCTTCCATAGCATAGTACACTTAAACTTATACTTAATTTAATTCCTCAATCATTACATCATGATTACCACCATCATTAAATAACTAATGTCTACTGATTATGGCATAACCATTGATTCATATATTCTATACCACTGACCACAATCAATTCAAAAGCCATATACCAAAGCAAAACTAAACGTGCTTAACTTTCTTTCTTTTGTCTTCTTTTCTTAACTTTTTCCTTGATCAAAATTGTAGGCATTAAAATTTTAACGGATCAAGTCAAATCCTAAATTAAAAATATCGACTCTTGAAATCCTAGGAGTCTATTAGGGTTTCTTGGATGTTACTCTACCCTAAACCCTAACTCACATCTATATAAAGGGATATATATCCCCTTGAAGAGGCGTCTAAAAAATTCCATAAATCTCGGGATATTCACAAAGTGATCATGGCATAAAATAATGCCGTGATCAATAGATGTTCTTCTTGATAATCAAGTACTTCAAGAAGAATATTCATATAATGATCGACTTTCATGGAGATAAATAATTTAGAGAGGTCCGTATCATCCTACGTTCGAGAATACGCTGATCCAGCCCTCGAATCTCGGAGAACAATTCGGAGGAAGAATCAAGGGAACAAACAGAATTGTACCCGCATCATTTTATCAATAAAATTATGTTTCTTCATACTTATATTGTGGTTGCAATTTATTTTTGTATCACATATAATTTGTTGCAAACAAATTGGCACGCCCAGTGGGACTAGTTCTGCCCTTCATCTCTTCCTCCTATCAATCTGAAACTACAAATTTCGAATCAACTGTGGCGATGATCTTCAAAATGAGAATAGATCTCGAAATGACCACAATCTCTAGGGGCAATATTTCTTGTTCCCTATCAAAGTAGTTCTTAATCATTAGCAGAAAAAAAGTGCTTGTAGGACGTGCTTCGCAAAAGCTGCAAAATCGCAAGGATGGACGCAAAAAAGTTATCCTTCACCGAAGCCGCAATGTTGCAAAGCAAAACTCCAAAAGTTAATCTTTCCCGAAAGAATTCAAGTTGAGCAGTTCTTTACAAGGAAGAAAAAAGTACAGAATCCTTGTAAAACAAGGAACCAAGTTCCCTGCCATTTATTGCTACATGGATGGAATTGTTTTTTGCCGTTGAAATTATTTCTCAAATACAAATTCGGTGGATAATCGAAGAAAGATACCGTCAAAAATATAAGTTCATGTGAAGACGAAGAGGTACATACTAAAACATTGTCAAGTACTTCAAGTCTCGGCTTCAAGTTTCGGCAAGCCTACACACCGACAAACCTTGAAGTAGGGGCATTTGTAGACATCGAAATTTTAACAGATCAAGCCAAATCCTAAATTAAAGATACTACAGGACTCTTGAATCCTAGGAGTCTATTAGGGTTTCTTGGAGGTTACTCTACCCTAAACCCTAACTCACATCTATATAAAGGGATACATATTCCCTTGAAGAGGCGTCTAAAAAATTTCATAAATCTCGGGATATTCACAAAGGGATCAAGACATAAAATAATGATGTGATCAATAGATGTTCTTCTTGATAATCAAGTACTTCAAGAAGAATATTCATACAATGATCGATTTTCATGGAGATTAAATAATCCAGAGAGGTCCGTATCATCCTACGTTCGTGTATACGCTGATCCATCCCTCGAATCACGGAGAATAATTTGGAGGAAGAATCAAGGGAACAAACAGAATTGTACCCGCATCATTTTATCAATAAAATTATGTTTCTTCATACTTATATTGTGGTTGCAATTTATTTTTGTATCACATATAATTTGTTGCAAACAAAAACCACACGTCCTCTTACCGCAATTTTTCTTTATGTGTGTTTTACTCTGTCTTCAAGAACTAAGACATTATTTACTCTTATTTTATGCCCTAGGTCTTCACCAGTTAACACGTACTCAACAAACAAACAAAAAAGATATGGGCCTATACCACTTCACTATTATTCAATAGAGACTTTTACATTCCTATACACTATATGAAACTATATTACCATCCCTACTCAAGTTTTACTATAATTACATTTTATATACCCAATTACCATTTATGTACATTTTAAGAGAATTAATGATAATAATTAGTGTCCTAAAATCACTCTAACTTATCTTTCACACCCCCATGTTTCTCTCTCCACATCCCACCCTCCTCCCTCACGTATCTTGCACTCACCCACGATTTTCTATTCACAAAATTCAGAATCACTCCATTAACGCCTATTTCCTCTCTTCTTCCATAAGCATTGTAAATTTTTACTCTCTTCTTCAAAAAATCATCTCCATTAACGTCTGTACTTAGCTTGATTCTCAATGAAGAAGAAAATAGCTTCAAAGAACAGCCCTAAAAAGGCAAAGGAGTCGATATTCTTACATTTGATTTGGGTGTTTTCTTAGAGAATTCACCCCAAAAAAAATTATTTGTTTGAATTGGGTGTTATTGCAAAAAATTGGAAATTCTCTCTACGTCTCTCTATCTCTCAATCCCTAATTTCACTAATGTAAAGCAAAGGAAAAGAGAGCAGCAATTCCACCATTGACAACCATTAAAAAGCTTTGAAGCTTTAAATTCGAATTTGGGTTTTGAAAAATCATTATTTGTTTGGATTGGGTATTGTTGCAAACAATTGGGAATATGGTTTGGAGTTTATATCTCAATTTTGAGGGTGTGAAGATTAGACTTGATTTTGGCTGAATTTCAGAGTGAAACTTGAAGAAGAAGATGAAGAAGACGTGATATACATTATATTTACGAAATTGTAGAAAAATTGTATTATGTTGTTTATATAAATTTTTTTATTTAATTATTGTATGAAAGTTGAACAATAATGTATAAAATTATTTTTAAGTTGTATGATTTTGTAGTTGTATATAACTGAGTAGAAATAATGTATGAAAATTGTAGATAAGTTGTATAATATATAATAAGTTGTATGATTTTTTTTTACTATGTATAACTCAGATACAAAATATACAAAAGACATATTGTATAAATTTTGTATAAAATTTGTATTTAAGTGGTATGTTATTGTAGTTGTATTAAACTGGATGGAAATAATGTGTGAAAGTTGTAGAAAATTGTATAATATATAATTAGTTATATAAAATTTATTTTTACTGTGTGTAAATCAGATACAAAAAATATATTATATAAAATTTGTATAAAAATTATATTTAAGTGGTATGATATTGGTGGATTTCAGTCTGGTCATTTTTTGCTAGGACAATCGCCTACATAGCGTAAACATTCAAAAATAGCTTAACCATTCAGAGATCATAATACCTCATATGCACCATTTATAAATTAGGTCCACTAGCCACTTATCTAAATCAAGAGACATTTTTTATACACTAAAAAAAATTAATTAAGCAATAACTTAATTTTTTTTTTGAACAACTCAAACTCACTTATAAATATTCATAACATTATTTTCATAAATTTCACTATTTCCAACGTCTTTATATGATTAAGTCGAGCGAGGAGAATTTTATAGTTTTAAAATGAATCACGAAAATTTACGAGACATTACAGAGCCTATCACTATAATAGGCTTATCAGAGGCCAAAAAGACTAATCTGAATTAAAATAATTTCTTCTTAACAAATTTTTAGTTAAAAGCCAAAATACTTAAAATTCAGCTTATTACATTGTAACAAAAAAGTAAAAGAAAAAGTAAAAAAGTCACTGTCAAACTTTCCTTTTTTAATTCTTAGGCCTACCTTTTTTAACTTTTTTTAATTCTCTCTCTTTTGTCTTCTACCCAAAGCTTCTTTTCAGACTACCCAGCAAAAAAACTTTCTCCTCTTCTGAAGCAGGTTTCTTCTTCCTATTTCATTCTTTTAATTCTTTTCAGTTTAATTTAAAACATTTTACTTAATATTATTTTTTCAAGTTCTTTGCTTCGGTTTTTCCTTTTAAAGTGTAATAATATGTGGTTAATCGGCCGGTGTGTGTATATATGCTGGTTTGAGTTTCGGCGAAACGGGTGCTCTGTTTTTATTATTCTCTGATTTGTGTATTTTTTATTTCTGGGTTCGCATGGTGATTAGGGGTGGCAAACAGAGCACCCGTTAAATGGTGCTCACGAGGCTTTACAAATGTAAAAGTTAAACACATTAGTTATCCATTTGGTTAACCATTTTCTAAGTGGATAATATGGTTCTTTATCCATATTCGACCCGTTTTTAAATGGTTCATTATCCAACCCATTTTTTGATGGATAATATGGGTGGATAACTGTTTTCTTTTAACCATTTTGCCACCTCTAATGGTGATCGAGGGAAAAAATGATTTTCTTTTTACTTTGTGTTTTTATTCCTTTGGTATATTTTTTTTGATTTCATGTTCAAAGTTAAAACTGAAATTGATGGTAAACTTAAGAACCCAATATTTACCAGCATTATTATTTCTCTTTTTATGAGTTGATTTTGTTGATCGTTTCAACTAATTTTCACAATATGGTATTTTCTTTTAGTCGATTCAGGTAATTCTGAACATGGTATATTGCGTATATTGTGCAAAGAACATCAGTCGACCCGACTCTGTGGATGGCAAAATGTGAGCTTCGTCTCCCAATGTTGTTCTTTTTCTACATTTTAATACTCCTAAACTTATGAAGATGTTTCGTTTCGTCACATTATAGATGTTGTCCCTCATGTGGAAGAGTTGTTGATGAAGAAAATTTTTCAAGTGAGCCCACTTTTGTTAAGAATGCTGCTGGACAGGTTAGTTCTTTATTTCATATTCTTCTCGTGGGATTGATATATCTTAGGCAATATCCTGTAGTTTGGACGGTGTGCTTAATCAGGATTAATGTCATATTTATTATTTGTTAAAAGGAGTTTTTAAGGTGCAATGCAAGAAGTGGTTAGAAAGTCAATAAAATTTCATAAAAAGGTGTGGTGCAACGGTCAATGAAGTGGGTAAAAACCATGGTAGACCAGGGTTCATATCCCAGGGTAGATAAAAAAACGATTGGTGATTTGTTCCCTACTCCTAAGCCTTGGTGGGTGGAGTTTTCGGTATCTGTGCTGGTGGTGGAAGGTAATATGTACATAGTAAATTAGACGAGATCGCACAAGCTTGCCGGACATCACTGTTATAAAAAGTTAAAAAAACAAAATGTTATCGTCAAATACCTAAGAGATCTTATGAGCTGAAAGTATATGTAGGATATTAGAAACTAGACAATACAAGAAACCTTTTTTCCTCACGGCCTTTCTTATATGTTGGCCAATTTAAATTCTTACTCAGTAGGTTAGAAATGCTAATTTTAGTTGTTGAAAATTTGTGTCTCATCATGTGATTGGTGGAGCTCGAAGAAGATGCACGTGGTGGAAATAAGTTTTATACTTGATGTAGAATTCTTTATTAATATTACTGTGATGTGACAAGGGAGTGATAGCCTAGTAAAAGGCTGAATCACCTCCAACCATGAGGCTGGGTTTGAGTTACTAAGAGAGCAAATTGGAAAAAACCACTATGTGGCTCCTGGCTAGGATGTTTTGTGGCATGGTTTACATATCAAAAAAAAAAGAAAAGCTACATCTAAGACTCTTCAGTTGGGCGTCAAATGGATCCTCATCCCAAACATATGTTTGTGGGCTGGGAGAAGTTGGAAGATGGAGTCAACTTGCATGCTTTTGTACATGTGTGCATGTTGTAGTGTGAATGACCTTGCTTTTAATATTAATTAGTTCCTTTTAATTTTAATATTAATATACCTTTATCAATAATTTTATATTTTAAATATAAGCTCAAATGAGGAGATAAATGATACTAAAATGAAACTGAGAAACAAAACAAGCTTAGGTTTAAGGTGCAATTATTGAACAAGTTATATATTGGTGTCTTGTAAAGTATAGTATTCAGTTTGTATTCTATCGAGACTAACTTAAATCATCTACAGAGTCAATTGGCAGGTAACTTCGTGAGGACTGTCCAAAGTGTCTATTCAGCTTCACGGGAAAGAACGCTAAATGAAGGTATCTTATGTACCTTTGATTGTTGTGTTCTCAGAATGACTTTATGATCACGGGTGGAGGGTTCAAGCTTCATCGGTAATGCAACATTCCCTTCCCCTTTCACCCTTCCTTGGTGCAATAAAAAACTTTATGCTCGTTGTTACCTATTTATATAATATTTCTGTCATTCTTTTTCTTTTATAGGGAAATGTTCTATCATTCTATTTTCAGCTGAATGATTGATTAGATGTTTGTTCTAGTTCTCAATTTTCAATAGAACTTGTTATGTCTTTCTAGAGTACGGTTGAATTTGAATGTTCTTTCTCAATGGTCCTCATTTCAGTTCATCTTTATTGTTCAAAGGAAAAAGTTATTTTAAGTTTAAGAATATGTTGCTTGAACATGAAGAATTCACTGATTTGGTTAAAAATTGGTGGTATTCTTATGTGGTGGAAGTGGAAGCTGATACAATTCTAGCAAATAAGTTGAAGCTATTGAAAGAAGATCTGAAAACGTGGTTTAAGCAGACTTTTGGAAAGTTAGAAGACAAAAAGAATAAAGCTTTGGCAAGATTGGAGGAGCTGGATATGGTGCTTCAGACATATGGTGCATGTTTTTTTTTTTTTGCCTTTTTGGTCTCAAATGGGCTTACACAGTCAATGATGCTTACAAGAGCTGGAGTTTATGGAGAGTTGATAAAATCATCAGGAAAATCTGGTCATTGGGCTTGTATTTTCTGGTGCATTTGGATTGAGAGAAACAAGAGATGTTTTGATGGAAACTCAACTCCTGTAGGTTCTGGATGGAAATTCATGCTCCCTGGATCAGAACAAAGTAGATAGGCTTATTTGGGTTAACAGCAAGGATTCACAGCAAATAACTGTTATAAAATGTTGATTGAGGAAAATAGTCAGGGAACATCTGAATTGGCCTTGGAAGATGATCTGGAGAACTAAAACACTAGTGAAAGCAGCATTTTTCAGTTGGCTAGCAGCTTGGGATGCTTGTCTAACTCAGCACAAGTTGCAGAGAAGAGGTTTCTACTTGAGTAGCAGATGTTATCTTTGTAATTCAGAAGAGGAGACAGTTGAGCACCTTTTCTTGCACTGTATTTCTCAAGGCAATGCTTGTAACATTTCTTGAGCATAATGGGTATATATTTGGTGTTACCACAGAAGATATGCAACTTGTTGGAAATGGAAATCACAGAAGGTCAAAAGAAGCTTAAAGCAAATATGGAGGACCATTCCAAATTGCATTCCGGGGACCATATGGTTGGAAAGGAACAAGGCATGCTTTGAAGGAAAGAGGCTGCAGATTCCCAGAGTTGAAATAAATGCCTGAAAAACTTGTACTTCTTGTGTTATAGTAGTACTGTAGATAAGATGGATCAGTATTTGGATTTTTTGCACTTACTAGGGGCAATATGTAGGATGAACTAATTAAGAGCTGCAGTTATCTTGTAATTTTCTTCTGTACCATCTTGGTACCAGTTAAATAAAATATTTACTTATCGCAAAAAAAAAAAAATGATGATAGTGATAGACTATGTGAATTGTTAGATTTTACCACATTGGTTGAGAGAATGAGTTGTTGTATCTTATATGGTCACAGATAATCCTCACCTCATGAACTAATTTTTGAGGTTGAGTTAGGCTCGAGGTCCATTTCTTTACGTCGTATCAACCCAGTTATCTTCTTGGTTTACCGAATGATGGTCCCCATGTTATGTTGTCCACTCCCCAGTTGACTAGGCATGTGCGTGCGAGAGATGATGAGAGAATGAACTGTTGTCTCTTTATATGATTTTTTGCAATTCTCACCCCTGAGCTGGCTTCTGGAGTTGAGTGAGGTACAAGGAATTTTCTTAACATAAATAAAGTAACCAATTAAAAAATAAAAGAAGATGCAAATGAAATGATATTTTTTGTTCTTGTTGATTGGTGACAACTATATCCTGATATGTTTGTCATGAAAGAGGTTTTGTTGAAGGACCAAGTATAACACTGCAGTTAGAGTTGCAATATTCATGGAGCTATTATAGCTTGTTGGATAGATTAATGTTGTTAAGAATTCATGGAGGCGCACAAGCTATGTAGCTATGTGCCTATGTAGCACCAATTTGGTTTGAGAATATGTTAGATCGCCCTTTGATATCAATATAATTTTTAAGTATGGAGTTCTTTCTGATACATTTGTTTACTCCCCCTTCCTGCAGCATATAATGGTATAGAGAGTATGATTTATGCCTTAGGAATTGATGGTGGTGATTCAATAGCTCGTCCAGCTTTGAACCTCTATACAGTATGATTCTTTATGACTTTATGCACACCTCTACTAGCATGATATCATTCTTTGGCTGAATATGTTACTTCCAGATAGCAGTTGAGAGGAATTTCACAAGGGGGCGTAGGAAAGAGCAAGTTGAGGCTGCTTGTGTTTACATTATATGTAGGTGAGACATTGTGTTATATGATATAATTTTTTCAACCTATTTATGTTCCTTAAGGGAAAAGAAGAAGTGGGATAATGATGATAATAATATTAGAGTTCTGTAACAAGTCTAAATCCTACTCCCAACTAGTTGATATCATCTATATAGATCTTTTACTTCCATTCCGTCCTATATTTAATAAGTCTGCATTAGTTCCAGTGATTTGCAGATCTCTCGAGACAACTTCCTTCCATGTGCTTTTAGGTCTACCCTATCCCATTTTAACACACTATAGTTTCACATCCTTGACCTATAAACCAAAATTCTACAGAAGCAGCCCAAGAAATAATTGCCACTATGATCTAACTTTCTGTGGTAATCGTAGGTGATGTTGTACAAGAAAAAATTTAGTTTGCAACCATCTGATTTTCAGGTTTATTGTTATCACCCTTTTTAACTGACCTTTATAAAAAGAAAGGATAGAGCAAAAAGCAAAGATTTGCAGAAACAGGGAAGAAACAGAGAAGAGGACAGAGAACTTAAGAAACAAATTAAAATTTAGAGAAAGAATATATGGGACGAAAACCTTAGCTCTGACACCATCTGAAAAATAAGAAGAGAAGAAGAGAATTCAGGAAGAAATTGCTTGATTATTTCCTCAAGCTTTGGGGTTTAAATAACCTTTACAAGAAATACAAGTAAGAATGAAAATAAAGACAATAATACATTCCTACAAAATTTTCTAATATCCTAATTAAGGGGATTTGAGAATCTTTCCATATTTACGCAGTATATGGTCTTGCCATATTTAACAGGGATAAACTAATACATTATAGATCTTGACCTGGTTAATTGTGGATGAAACTACTAACTATATTATGCAGCACACAGGGATAACAAAGCAACAAAAGTTTTGTCATTAGGACATACGTTGAAAGAGTAATTAGGACAGATATAGTTTTGATTCAAGCTTTTATTGTAATTTTTGTTAGTCTGAGCTACTTTACTAGTGACAAATTGGGGTATCTTTATCTTTATTTTTCTTGCAGGGAAAGCAACAAGCCATTCCTACTCATTGACTTTTCTGAGTACTTGAGGATAAATGTGTACGTGAGCTTACTTCTACAAAAGTCTTAGAAGTCTTTCTCTTTCATTCTTCTTTTGATAAACACTTTGGATCAATAATCTTGAGCAATAATGATTGCCCTTTAGGTCAGGAGTTCTTATCATCCTGTTCAGTATGATGATATTCTTTTTACCCCTTAGATCCTTTTGTAGTTATATTGTCAAGCAGATCTTATGTGTGAAACTTGTGTGATTAGAGTAAATTAGACGAATCTTGCTCTATGTTTAGCTAAAAATGAAAGCAGCCTTATGTGAAGTAGTATTCGATGTTGGATTTGAGAAAGATAAAGGAGTTATAGTATCTTCTTTTGTGTGGGAAGGAAATTTAGGACAGAAGAAAAGATGACTTTTAAGGAAGTTACTGGGTAATATGTTTATTTAGTATATTATGGCTTTTGCATTTGAGCACAGTTTTTTCTTTACTGCAGTACCTCTTCTCTCTAACCTCAACAAGTTCCTTTTTCCTATCAGAAAAATCTGGGTGACCCGTCGCACATTATTGACTTCACAAATTGTTAATCTTGATTGGCAGATTCTGGAGGTTTCTTAGTACATAGCCTCCTTACAACTCTAGAACAATATCCTAGTCTATGCAGGTCTTATTGTATTTTTGTCATACATGAAGGGTTATACCTAAAGTTGCACAGTTTGGGAAAACATTTACCTAATCACTATCTTTATTATGGTAATTGAAGCCTGTTCAACCTTTTTTTTCTTTTGAAATGCAGGTATATTTTAGGTGCTGTGTTCTTACAGCTTTGCAAATTTCTAAGCCTTGAAAATCGCCCGTTTGTTCAAAAACCTGTGGATCCTAGCCTTTTCATTCATCGATTCACTGATCGTAAGTATTATCTAGATCTGACTTGCTGGTCAATTTTAAATCTTAGCTTCTTTCTGACCACCTTGCCCCAGGTACCAACGCCATGGCGATAGTTTATATATTTTTTAATTTCCACTTTGCATTCTTGATTACATTTTGGATTTTCATTGTGAGAAGTTTAAAGATCTTCAATCATAAGGATTTTATTCTGCAAGCATGATTTTCTGCCCGTTGCTCTGGCAAGTTATTTTAATGTGGATGCTTATTAGTTGGAATCTGGTTGCATCTTTTTTCCCCCTTATTTTGAGCCAATGATATAGCATACAACTTACATATATTGTACAACTTCATTACTATGTGCTTCCCATATTCCATCAAGTGAAATAAATCATGAACCAACACTTGGTATCAAGTAATCCCAAATTATCGGACGAAGGCAATTATATGCAGGTCATTACTCGTAAACACTTAACATTTAAACAATTAGGTTTTTGTACCGATGTACACTAGAAGGACAAACATAATTTCCAAATGGAAGAGAATAAAAACATAAAATTGTGAGAAATAGAGAACTAATTCATGAAAACATATAGCAAGTGAAGACAGGAAATTTTACTATTTTTTTCGAGCAGGATATCAAAAATAAAGATGAGCCAAACCTCATTTCATCCCTCTCATGTTCTTCTGATCTGGTATCTTATTTTCATATATAAAGTCCATGTTACCTCAATTTTCCTGCACAGTAATGCGCATCTCTTGATTGGTATGTGCAAAAGAATTCTCTTTTTTTGTTCTGTTCCATCCAGAAACTTGTTGTACCTGTGGGGTATCTTCGCGATTACACCTTACTTACTATGGTGCCTTTAGCTCTATTTTCCTTTCCTTTCTGTACTTATTCTTTTTCAGATACCAGATTGCTGTTAGCTTGTTGGAGTCCACTAGTGAAGACTATCAATTTGTAATGTAGGTTTATTTGGGGGAAGGAAGCCAAATATTTCTAGAACTGCACTTCACATTGTGGCCAGCATGAAGCGTGATTGGATGCAGGTTCTACATGATTTTCTTTGCGTATAATTTAGTGTGTGAAAGTTACTGGATTAATTCTATGGAACTAGATAAAATCGCTTACATTTTTGCACTAATCCATAAATTGTCTATAGACAGGGAGAAAGCCAAGTGGGGTATGTGGAGCTGCACTGTACATTGCTGCTCTTTCACATGGACTGAGTTGTTCCAAATCAGAAATTGTAAGTGGTCTTTCCAGATTTCCTTTATATCGATGGTCAGAATTGAGATCTTTTTCTAGATATCCTTTATATTGATGGTCAGAATTCAGATTTCTGTATAGACAGGCTTCATGTTGTAAGCTTTATTCCGCTTTCAACTTAAGTATATCTGAAAAGTAATATAATGTGTGTGAAAGTAAGATTTTCTGGTCTTTTGTGCAATCTGAGCTGACCTAATCTCTCTTTTGTAAGCTTTCCATCTGCTTGATGCCTTTTAATGAAAACATCTTACCTCATTAAAAAAATGTTTTTCTTCTCTGTGAAACTCTTACATGTTTTAGCTAGTTTTCAAGGACTTTTTCTTGGTCATTCTTGCTATTGGACTTGACAACTGTTTTCATTTTACATTCTTGACTTATTTCATGTTCAAGCCTATGGTGACATAGCACAAGAAACATTATATTTCCTTTTCCCATTTTCTTTATTCATTTGGTGAACAGATCAAAGTCGTACACATTTGTGAAGCAACATTGACCAAGCGTTTGATTGAATTTGAAAACACAGAATCTGGGAGCTTAACGGTATGTACATCAAAGCTGGTAGGATGAGCACTGCTGATACTTTAATATTCTCTGTTTGAAAAGCTTAAGGTGCATGTATTTAAGCATGTCTGCAGGTCCTTTTGTTTTTATTGGGAAGGGGCCCAGCTATTAAATTAGAGTCTTAAAAAGCAATGTAGTATAGTGAGGTGCTTCTGTCATGTGCATTATCTTTGAGTTGGATATCTCGTGAACACTGAAAACACAAGGAAGAAAGGCAGGCATCTCAAGGGTGAACAAGCATAATGGGGTTTGGGATTCTTATCTTAAAGTTGGCATGGACAAGGTGTATAACATAATTTGTTGCCAATGCTGGAACCAATATCGTAAAACTTGTGTTTGCATACACATCAGTACAGGGAGATGCGTGCTGATGTCATTGAGTGAGAGATTGACAACTTTGCCTCTACTAATGAGTATTTATGTTTCTTAATGCTCTTCTTGATGCTGTCACAGTTTCACTAGATTCTGGTATGTCATGAAGCCACCCAATACATGCACTTAGGAAAAGATTTTAATTTCACCTGTCTTTGACTTCTTCCTTCTTTTTCCCCCTCCTGTTCTACTAGCGGAGTCTAAAATGAACTCGTCCATGGGCTGGGCGCCTCAGGCTTTAGGTCAATTTGATGCTCATGTCCAGGAGAACTCATCACCTAGTGATGTGCTATTTCTTATGAGCCTGATGTGCTTGATGACATATGTTGACAGTCAAAACAAAATTTTGATTCCGTCTTTTTTTCTTGATGCATTAATGTTGGAGTTTGATGCAAGTTGCATCTGTGGTAATGGCTTGTTATACAAAAATTTGCTTTCCTAGTTTCATACTAGTACTTCTTACTTGCAACTAGATTGAAGAGTTCAATACAAGAGCTGAGGAGCTTGAGAAAGAAGAGAAGCTGGCCCCGCAACTTTCTTTGGGGTCAAAAGGATCTGGGATCATGGAAGTGCTATGTGAACACAAGGGAAGTGTGGAGCTGCCCTTTGCCCATGGTCTTTGTGAAAGCTGTTACAGTGATGTAATTACTTGGTACACTGATCTTTTTAAGTTTTCAGTAGAATTGCTAAATCATATATAATGCTCATGAATGTGTCTGCAGTTTGTAAAACTTTCAGGTGGGCTTGATGGAGGATCTGAACCTCCAGCCTTTCAACGCGCTGAGAGGGAAAGATTAGTGGCAAAAGAAGCTGCTGAGGATCCAAATATTTCCATGTCCAATCAGGTGGAGAACAATGGTGCTGAGTATTTGGAGGTACTCATTGAAGCTGCTACTTATCAAAAGCATTATTACATTGTATTTGGAAATTAGAATTTTATGCTTTCAAGATAGCTTTTGACTGTTGGAAAAGACGCAAGTCAGTTTCTGAAAATTTTCAATTGACTGTTTTTTGAATCTGCTATATTCACTCCCACTGATACCAAGTTCTTAGTTTTAGATGGTATTTTAAGGAAGCTTCCAGCCTTTCATGTGATTTCTTTTTGAGAAGTCTTTCCTTAGGCAATGCCATACTGCCACTAGTACCAAATTCTTGAATCTAGGTGGTGTTTACTGGAAATATGCAGGCATTTTCTTGCTTTCTGGATAGTGTCTTATGTATTCTCTTTTTGTGTTCTTTTGGTTGATCCTCAGCCTGAAAGGGAAGGGAATACTCAGAGTGTGACCGGGAGTAAAAATGTGCAGATATCAGGTTCTGATCAAATAGGTAAATGTTTATTTTCTTCCAGAGTTAGAATGTTGGGAGAGAGTTCTGATCAGGACCGCAGAGTGACTTACTTTTCTCTCAATTGCAGGGGCAATCTCAGGGGCTAAAACTGTGCATAATGCAACTCTTGATCCATTACATGGCACGGATTGTATGGGTCCTGATGATCATGATGAATCAGGGAACTTTTTCGATATCGATGATGTAGAGGTGTGTTGGTTTTCATTTAGTAGGGGATGGTCACGATCCTTGTAAGTTTTATTTAAAAACCTATGGCAGCCTAGATGCAAAGCTATGATTTTTGACGGATTTCATCCTGCCAGACCTCATTGCATGATACTTAGCAAATGATAGTATGATACTAACTGACCCTACTTTTCATCCTTTACTTAGAAAGCATCATTCCAAAATAACTAAATAAGTGAACTCTGTGTTATAACAGTTTGTTAGCAAATATATGAAAAACTATGCTGCTTCAACAGAATGTGCTGCAACATGTTCTATGATTTGCAGTTTACCTGTGGCAACTGGATTTAGTTGCACATTTGTGGGCATGTATTTCCTGGTTCACTAATTTGTCCTGGCTGTTACTCTGTACCTGCATTGCTGTCAGGTTGACGGTTATCTTTTCAATGAGGAGGAGAAGCGCTACGTGAAGATAATTTGGGAAAAACTGAACCCGGAATATGAGGTGATTCAGTTAATTCTATGCAAATCACCATGTAAAGTTGCAATGTTGATCGCAAGGTCCTCTAGTGGTCTTATGATTTACAAATACATTAAGAAGTATAATGAATATACTGTCGGTTTTTGATATTACTATTAGCGGTTGTAATAGAACTCTTGTTATGCTAGATCAGTTCGGCTTATTTTTTCTTAGTTATGGATTTTTGGTGATTCTTTGGTCCATCTTCACGACGATTTTTCTTATCACAAAACAGTAGTCCGTACTTCCTCACCTCCTTTCCTTCCTTATTCTGAGTGAGCTTGCTGATCAATATTTATAGGAACAAGCAGCTAAGGAAGCAGCTGCATTAGCTGGAAAGAAGGCTGATGAGTCCATTTTAGCGAACTGTTTGGAGGATGTGCAAGCTGCACTGAAGCTTTCTGCTGCTGCTAATAATAATGTTGCAAAATCAAGAAAGGTTGTATTCTGAACTTATCTTGAGTTTGTTTCCTGGAGAAAATTGATTCTCTGTGTCATATTGAGGAACTAAGAAACCATTGAGAAGGGTAACTTTGTTGATGTCAATGGTTGTTGAGAAGTTGATATTTGTCCCTCGTCAAAAAAGAAGTTGATGTTTGTTAATATATACAAACACAACAAATATTTAAAAATGACTTGTGGTTTTCTCTTATATTTCTAAGGACTAAAGGCTTGGCTACAATAATCTAAAGTTAGACGAAAACATTCAATCTCTTTTAATGGTCAAACTTTTGAGATTGTTTCCGTGTTTCTTTCACGAGGAAGAAGGGATAGTTGTAGTCTCGTAGTGTTGTATAAGCTAGTCTCTTTATAAAATATTATAGTGCACAAGAGTTGCTCCAGAGATCTCCTGAAATTAGCTTACACTTTGCTTTATGATATCATATGCAGGAAAAACGACAGAAAAGGGCTGCAGAACTGAAAAATTCTGGTCCTGCTCAAACCCCTGCAGAAGGAACGAAGCAAATGTTAACTAGAAAGGTATATATCAGTATGATAGAGGAAAAGGAACTTGCAATCTTTAGAGATTTGTAGTAGTTGAGGAGATTTAGTCATCTTGCCTATAGCTGTATATATTTTGACTTGCCATTCTTAGCATAAGTTTCCTGGACTTCAGCTTTGCCGATACAGCAGACTTGCATCATGTTGCAGTTTTTCTTGTTGAGTGTTGGTTTTGCTCAATTTCGACATATCTTAATCATTTCTTTTTACTCTTTGTCATATGTTTGCACTGCATGGTATATCTTCCTCTTTTTCATGAAACAATATATATCAGATTTATCGGTTGTGTTGTTTGTACCTTACCTTTGCTTTATATCATTTGATGCAGAGGCTGAGCTCTAAAATCAACTTTGATGTGCTAGAAAAGCTTTTTGACGATTCTGTATGTACTTCTCCTACTCCAAAATTTCTAGAGAATTTCATTGCACCTGCTTTTAATTTCAATTTTACTCAGATGTCAATTCCTCTAGCAAAGTATCATTTTTCTTTATTGAAAAGAATCTTCGGTTTTTGCCCTTACTAAAAAGATCATAAGCATTTGTTGCTCTCATCTCCATAAATATATTTAACTTGATCATGTTATTTTTACAGGCAATTCGAGAGAGCAAAATTGATCCCGAAGTAGACGAGACGTATGAAGAACCATATGCGTTACGACGAGGATGTTGGAGGATATGACTATGCAGATGCGGAGCTAGCATACGCCTTACGGGTTCGACCGAATCTAGTAGCTTTGGTCAGAATTATGTATTTGTCTTAAGAAATTCATTGAATACCTACAAATTATTAATTTAGAACCCAATAACTTAAACGGACTACAATGGTGAACCCATAAGCTTCAAATTCTGGTTCCGCCGTTGTTACTATGATCAACACTATGATTATGGTGTATGATTAATTTAATGTTTTCCCCTTACAAAAAGAGGACATGAGAAGTCAGGTAACACATTTTCCTTCACTTGTATATTAGGAATTGTTGGTCCTGGTAGCCAATTGAATGTCAAAGTTATTATGTTTTAATTATCACTTTGATTAATTAATTTCCTGGGAACACCTTCCTGTACTGGAATATGAGATCTTATTTCATTCCTTCCTACTTGTAACTGAAGTTTGCATGATTGAAATTGAAAGACTTCCCTTTCCAACAACAACAAACGCAGTTTGGTCACTGTCCCATCGGTAGGGTCTAGGGAGGGTAGTGTGTATATAGATCTCACTCTTACGTTGTGAAGGTAGAGAGACTGTTTTCGATATACCCTTGGCTCAAGAAAAGCATGTAAAGAAAAAAAATTGTTGAGATCCTTAATTTTTCCATAATAGATTGGCGAGATTCAGTTTACATGTAGCCATTACGTCTTTTTTTTTTTTTCCTTCTAATTCTAGGAAAATTACTACCATCTCGAATTTGCTAATTTTACATTGACTGCTAGTCTATCGTAAACCTCCTGTATTTGAGCTTGAGATCGACAATATAAGCAAGGACACGCATGCGTAGTCAACTAAAATTGAGGTAAATTGAGGTATAGTAATTATTGTTGTACTATCATCTCGAATGTCCTCACAAAAATTTTGATTCAAAATGTATAGACATAGTGTTATATATATCATCTCGAACAATTTTTTTTAAAATTTTAATAAAATCCATGGAAACAATCTCAATAATTGTAGATAAAAGTTTTCCCAAAAATAGGAGTACAAGTCTACTTATAGACAACAAAAATGAGTAAAGTTTTTAAAAAGTGCAAGAAGTGTTCAAAACAATGAACCTAAAACTAAACTCAATATTTTGTTACAAGCTCAATTCCAACTCACTCTTAAAACCAATTACCAAGCCATCTCCTTATCCACAATCTTATTTTTTGTACAAAATAATAGACATTGCTTTTTCAAAAGTAAACAAAATTTTGTTTCTTTGTGACCTATAGGTCACGAGTTCAAGCCGTAGGAACAACTATTAATGCTTGTATTAGGATACGCTGTTTGCATCATGCCTCTTAGAGTGCGATCCTTTCTCGGACCCTGTATAAATGCATGATACTTTGCGCATCGGGCTATCTTTTTTTAACAGAACCTTGAAACATCCAAAAATATATATATATAAAAAGGTAAAGAAAGAGGTATAACTTTTATTCTTGATTTCTTTATCTTTAACCAAAAAAACTCAATTATTGTGAGCCAATCTCCATCCTTTCTTTCATCAGCAAAACAGCATTAAAAAATTCATCCATAGCTCTAACAGAAGATCCTTTGTAATCATCCTCATCTCTACCAGCATCTTTAATCATTTCTTTAATTTCACATGCTTTACCTCTTAATCTTTTTCCCTTTTCACTTTCACCCATAACTAACTCAATCTTTTCAATTAAGTCCCCATATCTTACATCAAAAGTTGTCCCTCTAGCCATTTCAACACAAACACCAATTTCTTCTTCCAATAATTTAGCATTAAAAAATTGATCAGCTGCCATTGGCCATCCAATTAATGGAACTCCATTAATAAGTGATTCAAGAACTGAATTCCAACCACAATTACTTAAAAATCCACCAATTGATTCATGTCCCAAGATTTCAACTTGAGGTGCCCAATTTAACACTATTAGTCCTCTTTTTTCATTTTCTTGAATTGTTTGAATAAACCCTTCTGGTAACCATTCTTCTGGTTTAAATTCAGCATTTATATCAAATCCTAAAGGTGGTCTAATTACCCAAATAAAATTTATTTCAAGACCATCTAATGCTTTTGCCAATTGCATTATTTGAGATGCTGTGATTGTATTTTGTGCACCAAAACATATGTAAAGAACTGATTTTTTCTCCTTTTTATCCAACCATTCTTTGCATATATCTATGGAAATTCCTAGTTCTTTCCTAGGACTTAGTTTTACTCTATCATTTTCTTGCAAATTTATTGGTCCTATTGCCCAAATTGGTATACATAATTTCCTTCTAAAATACATTAATCCATTTTTATCAAACTCTTCAACTGTATTGAAAAGAACCCCATCTGAATTTTTCCAAGTTGGAAGATTTTTCAACTGAAAAATTGAATAAGGATCATTTCCATCTGCTATAGCTAGACTAGGTGACAATTGTGTCACATGAAATTTTCCAGCTTCTTGAAAATCAGGTAATATAAACTCAAGTTTATCACTATGTCTATGAGGTAAATTTAACCACATAGAGTAATAACAAGCTAATCCAAATCCACTAGTACCACAAAAAATAGCATGGAAAATACCAAATTCATGAGTTACCTTAGCTGACCATCCAAAAAAGAAATCTGCTATAACACAAATTGGTTTCTTGAAAAAACCAATCTTTTCATCAACAAGATCACTTAGAATTTTCTTGAAATTAGGTTCAAGTGTAGGGGATATTTCAAGAAGCTTGAAAACAAGATTATAAGGGAGAGAATCATTGATTTCAGCATCTAGTGGTAGACCATGTTTAGTACTGTCAAAAGGTATTTCAAGAAAGTGAATTGAAGAGTTTGTAGGGAGTGATGATTTGAGTTTTTTGATATTTAATGGTGTATTTATGAAAGTGATTTGATATCCCTTTTGTTCAAGTTTGAAAGCTAAGGCTAAGAAAGGGATTATATGGCCTTGTGCCATGAAAGGGAAGAGGATTATGTTACCTTTTTTTCCTTCCATAGTTTGTAGGATGGAAAGAAGAAGAGATGGAAAATAGGAGGAAAAAGAAGAATGAATTTTCTAAATAAGAAATGAAAGTTGTCCTTGAAATCTTGTCTAGTTGGAAAGGAAAGGTTTATCCTTGTTGGATTATTAATTGAGTTCCTATAGAGGTTTTTGACTTTTCATCATTGGACTATCAAATATTACTCAGACGACGACGTAGTTTGACTCGGCACAGATTTAAAAAAAAAAGATTTTTAAAATTTGTGTTCTTAAAAGCTTAAGAGGTAAAAGCTTTGTGGGATCACGATATTTTTGTGGTTATAAAAGCTTCTCAATAATGGATAAAACGAAGAGTTTAAAGTTGAATTATTTCCAAATTTAGAAATGTGTCATTTATTTAGGAATAGACTAAAAAGGAAAGTACCTCATCTAATTTAAAACGGAAGGAGTATGAGAATTTTTTATACAATATAATAGTTGTAGATTGAAGGGGAGCCTTGACGTAACTGATAAAGTTGATATCATCTGATCAGGAGGTCATGAGTTGAAGAGGTGGAAACAACCTCTTAAAAAAAAACAGAATAAGGTTGCGTGTAATAGACCCTTGTGGTCCGGCCCTTTCCGAACCCCGCATATAGCGGGAGCTTAGTGCACCAGGCTGTCTTTTTTATTATGGGTGTAGATTCATTTTTTATTGTCCTTTTTCTCCTTTTCATTTCCAATTCCCTCTATGCAATTAGATATTAAAAAAATAAAAGAAAAAAAATGTGTCATTAGAGATAAAAGGAGGACCTTAGAATAGAGATACTTTTTTCCCATTCTTGTAAATTTGGTGAAAGGTCATATTAATGATTAATCTGGACTTCTCCTAATAGATAGGGTAATAGTAAAAGATATCTTCATCATTAATTTATAAAAGCATTATTGATTCATATTATGAATATTCAAACCAGTCATTTTGGACCTTTTCTCATTTCATTTTCACCTTACAATAACTACGCATGAATTTCAAATTTACATAATATAATTTTAAAGAAGGAGATTCAATTATTGTATTATCTAATTTTTGTTGTTATAAACTTGCAGATATTTTGTAAATATATGTATTTCATTATTTATAACGTTTTAATATCTTACCATTAACAAGTCATTATTAGACCCTGCATGTCATAAGACAATAGACAAAACGTAATTTCTTTTTATAAACAAAAAGGTCAACATTTTCCCACATTTAGATCCACACCCATTTAAATATAACAAGACCAATATTCGTGCTTAATCAAAGCAAAATAATTAAATTGACACCGCAGAAAAACTTGTATACTACCACTGTAAACAATCTCACAAATGACAATTACATGTAACTAAAAGATAAATTTACTAAAAAATAAGAAAAACAATTTACTGCTAACATGTTAAATTATATACACAGTGAAAAAACTCTAACTACTAGGGATAGCAAACGGGCGGCCCTGGTCGGATATGAGCGAGTTGAAAACGGGTAATAAAAAAACGGATAAATTATTCAACCCGACCCATTTTTAATACGGATAAAGATGAGTTAACAGTTAGATAATATGGATATCCGTTATCTGGGAGAATTCCTAGTCTCCCAAACTCAAGGAACCTCCAATTTGAGGCTTTACAAATGTAATAGTTGAAATTTCGCCAATTCCCATGCGGATGACATGGGCTATAACACACGAAAATTTGGGAATTACTGAAATTTCAATTTCAATAGTCATCGCTTCGCCATGACCGTTCATCCGCATGGGAACGGGCGCCCAGACCCGAATCGCCTAAAAAATTTTCAGACCATCAAAAATGACCTAAGGAACATTAGTTGCCGCCTCGCCATGAATGTTCCTCATTTTTGGCGTTTTAGGGCCAAAACAATGGAATTTTGCACGATTCCCGGATTTTCGTGTGCTATATATGCCACGCCATTTGCATTCACCTTGGTTACAGGACCCGAATCGCCAAAAATTTTACCGGCCGATAAAAAATAACTTAAGGAACAATAGTCATCGCTTCTCCATGACCATTCCTCGTTTTTGGCATTTTATGGCCAAAAAACTAGAATTCCGCCCGATTTCTAGATTTTGGTATGCTATAGCCCACGCCATCTGCATGCATCCCGGCGGCCGGACTCAAGTCGCTTAATATTTTGTTGGTCCATCAAAAATAAACTAAGGAACAATACTCATCGCTTCGCCATGACTGTTCCTCGTTTTTGGCATTTTAAGGCAAAAATTAGAATTTCGCCCGATTTCCATATTTCCGTGTGCTAGAGCCCACATCAACTGCATGCATCCAGACGACCATACCCGAATCATCTAAAAAATTTCTGGCCATAAAAAATGACCTAAGGAACAATAGTCATCGTTTCGCCATGACCGTTTCTCATTTTGTAGCACTTTAGGACCAAAAAACTGGAATTCTGCTCGATTCCCAGATTTTTGTATGTAATAGCCCACACCATCTGGATGGGTCCATGCACCCAGACCCGAACAGCTTAAAAATTTGCCGACCAACCAAAAACCACCTAAGGAATATTAGTCATCACCTCGCTATGACTATTCCTCGCTTTTGGCGTTTTAGGGTCATAAAGTTAGAATTCCGCCCGAGTGCTACAGCCACGCCATCCGCATGGGTCTGGGCGGCCGAACCCGAATTGCCTAAAAGTTTGATGGCCCATCAAAAACGACCTAAGAAATATTAGTCACCGCCTCGCCATGACCGTTTTATTGGTATTTTAGGATTATAAAGCTAGAATTTCGCCCGATTCCCATATTTTCGTATGTTATAGCACACGCCATCCGCATGAGTCCTGGCGGCCGGACCCGAATCGCTAAAATTTTTTATGGCCCATAAAAAAGACCCTAGGAACAAAATTCATTGCTTCGTCATAAAATTGTAATTTTGCCTGATTTTTAGATTTTCATGTGCTATAGACCACGCCAACCACATGGATCCTATCGTTTGGACCTGAATAGCCTAAAATTTTTTCGGCCCATCAAAAACGACCTAAGGAACATTTGTCATTGCCTCGCCATGACCGTTCCATATTTTTTGGTATTTTAGGGCCATAAAGTTGAAATTCCACCCGACACCCTAATTTTCGTGTGTTATAGCAGACGCCATCCGCATAGGTCCGGGCGTCCGGACCCGAATTGCCTAAAATTTTGCTGGCCTATCGAAAACGACCTAAGGAACATTAGTCATCGCCTGGCCATGACTGTTCCTTACTTTTTTGGCGTTTTATGGCCAAAACAATGGAATTTGGCCTGATTCCTAGCTTTTCGTGTATTATAGCCCATGCCATTTGCATACATCTAGGCAGTCGGACCCGAATCGCCTAAAAGTTTGTCGGCTCGTCAAAACGACATAAGGAACAATAGTCATCGCTTCTCCACATTACTCGTTATTTGACATTTTAGGGTAAAAAAACTTGAATTCTGCTCGATTACCACATTTTCATATGTTATATCCCACTCCATCTTCATGCATCCAAGCGATCAGACTCAAATCGCCTAATATTTTGTCGGCCCATCAAAATGACCTAAGGAGCAATAGTCATCCTTTCGTCATGACCGTTCCTCATTTTGTGGTATTTTAGGGCAAAAAAATAGAATTTCGCCCACCCCTCCCCCAGATTTTCGTGTGCAATAGCCCACGCCATCTGCATAGGTCCACGCGCCCAGACTCAAATTTTCTAAAATTTTGCCGGCATACCAAAAACGACCTAAGAACATTAGTCGTCGCCTCACCAAGTCTGTTCCTCTTTTTTTGCATTTCAGGGTCATAAAGCTGGAATTCCGCTCGATCCCTAGATTTTCGTGTGCTACTGCCCAAGCCATTCGCATGGGTCTGGGTTGTCGGACCCTAATTGCCTAAAATTTTGTTGGACCATAAAAAATAACCTAAGAATAATTAATCTTTGCCTCGCCATGACCGTTCCTCGTTTATTGAAATTTTAGGCCATAAAACTAGAATTCTGCCTAATTTCCAGATTTTCGTGTGCTATAGCCCGCGCCATCAGCATGAGTCCAAGCGCTCGGACCCGAATCGCCTAAAATTTTGATGTCCCATAAAAAACGACCTAAGGAACAATAGTCATGCTTCGCCATGACCGTTCCTTATTTTTTGGCTTTTTAGGGCCACAAAACTAGAATTTCGGGCGATTCCCATATTTTCGTCTATTATAGCCCACAATATCTGCTTGGGTCCTGGCGCCCATACCTGAATCGCCAAAAATTTTGTCGGCTCACATAAACCAACCTAAGGAATATTAGTCTTCGCCTTGTCATGACCGTTCCTCATTTTTTAGCGTTTTAGGGCCCCCAAGCTAGAATTTCACTCGATTCCCCGATTTTCATGTGTTATAGCCCACGTTATCCACCTAGGTTCGGGCACCAGGTGTTGACATCCAATTTTGTCCCTCTTTTCTTCCAAATTGTTTACTTGAGCTTCTAATATCATTAATAATATAAGAATATTCATTTTACTATTTTTATCCCATAATAAACTTAATTAGTATCTTTATTTTTATTTTGTTGTTATCATCATTGGATAAAACTATTGTTGTTGTTGTTGTTGTTGTTATTATTATTATTATTATTGTTGTTGTTATAACCTAGGCTCTGATACCAACTTGTCACGACCCTAAAATCGACCCGGTCGTGATGGCGCCTATCGTGAAACTAGGCCAGCCGATACAATTCCCAAGTCAAATCATTATTCTATAAAAGTCAATTTTTATTAACAAGAAACCTCATAGTATAAGTCTAAATAATCGGTGCAGAAAATATAACACAAGCCCGACATCGGGGTGTCACTAGTCATGAGCATCTACTACCAATGTCTGACAACATAAGACCAACATGGCCAAGAAAATCAATGAATACAACTAAGGAAGAATGTAGAGGGAGGAAAGCAAGGCTGCGATCGCCAGGCAGCTACCTTGCTAACTCCGATGAACCTGTCACTGAGTAATCAACACCTGCTACGGGGTTCAAAAACACCTGAATCTGCACACAAGGTGCAGGAAGTAATGTGAGTACGCCAACTCAATAAGTAATAAAATTAAATGAAGACTGAGCAGTAAGAAA